CTTCCGATCTACTCTGATATATCGATCTTTATGTTATATATAATCTGTTATAACATATATATATTTTGAGATATTGACCTCCATATAATATATATATAGAATGTAATACTCTGATATATTGATCTTTATTTTATATATAATATTATATATATAATATTTCTCCTCCAAAGTGCAAATCTGCCTTCAGACCAGGCTGCTTTGGCAAAAAAATCTCTGCCTGTAACAACATTTCCAGCCCAGACAGCGAGGCTGGAGCGAGGCCTTTCGCGCTGGATCGTGTTCATCTGAGCCACAGGTTGATCTTCTGGGATGGAATTCCTGGAAACTCCTTGAAAAAACCCCCTGGAATTCTGCTTTCCTGGCTGGGTTTCGGCGAGGGAGGAGAAATGGCTCCTCCAGAGCCCCCAAAGCCGCGGGTTCAGCTGCTGAAGCGGGACCTGCAGCTCGAGGCTGAGTGGATATAACCCCTCCTTCTGGCTGCCAGAAGGTTTCACAAAACCAGCCGTGAGCCCAGGATTTCAAGGGTCCAAGCCAAGAATTTGGGGCTTCTCCTTTGGGATGGGAGAAAGGGGAGGGGCATTCCTGACACACCGGGCTCGAGGAGTCAGGCACAGCCCCGGTGCCAAAACTGAGGGGATTTAATTCTGCTTATTTTATCCCAGTGCAGACTCAACAGGACAAACCCCTCACCTTTCTGGTTTTGCTTCCAAACCCTTTGGAATTTCATTTATATTGGATGATGGACATCCCCACGCTTCATCCCCCACCTGCCAAATCCCTGGATTTCTTCCCAGGCCTTCTCCCCACAGCCGCCTCCTCCCTCCTTCCCTGCTCTCTGGGCTGGTTTGTCCTCCTGGTTTTGAGGAGGCTCCAGTTTCAAACCCTCCTGTTCTTCGCATTCAGCTGCTCCCCTGAGCTCTGTATCCTCCCCCCCTCACACGCTCCAAGTGAGCCATGGATTTATGGAATGGCTTTTCCAGCCGGTCAGAGAGCTGAGCAGAGACTTCAGTGGTCCCAGAGGTTTTTGGGACAGGCCTTGCCTGCTGAAATC